ATCACCACAGCAAACATCAGAGATGACGTAGTTGAGGTCGATATCCTCTTGATATAAGGGATGTGACCGCCAAACCTACTAGATACCTGAAACAAGAGTTCATGCCCTCTAAAATCGGAGAATGAATTCTAGGAGCAATGGAGGTCAAGAGTAGGAAAATTTATATGGAGAAAGAAAGTTTCTGTCTAGGAGAGACAGAAGGGGGACTGGAAAGTGGGTTGCCCAGGACCCTATTTCCCAGGGTTTTTTAATGGAGCAGAGCCATGAGGTGAGGTGGGTTCGAGGTGGGACAAAACTATAAAACCCAATGAAAAAGGTGGAGTGAGGCGGGAGAAACCATGACCAACCAATAAGATTACAAGTACATTCGGTCAGGTAACATATATATATGTATATATATCCCCCCCCCAGAGATTGAATTTGGGACCTTGCACTTGCAAGGCAGGCGGCGGAACCACTGAGCTAAATCCCTAGCCCACACTCAGGTAATATTGATTAAATAGGGGTCAAATGGGGAAACAAGTCACACATAAGGAATTTTCCACTTAGATCTAGGGGAAGTAGTACCTCTTTTCCTTTTTTATGATGCTAACCAGTAAATGTGCCTTAATTGTTCTCCATGTTGGCTCCTTGAGGGTGCCCCTGTATAACTGCCTACTGGATACTCTAAGTAACCTACCTATCTACAATACTTTGCCTAGAAAGGGGGTCAATAGAGACTTGAGAAATTTCAAAGTATATGGGGGTTAGCCGGGTGGGGGGGTTGGGGTGGCGCATGCCTATAATCCCAGCACTTTGAGGAAGACTGAGGCAGGAGGGTCGCTGTGAGTTTGAGACCAGCCTGGGCTGTATAGTGAGTTCCAGGTCACTCTCAACTACAGAGTGAGATCCCGTCTCAAAAGAAACAAACAAAATAAACAAACAAAAAAAAGCAAAAAACAAAGTAGATGGGGGGCTGGGAGGTCAGTGCCTCTGAGTGGGCAAAGACAAGTACTCTCCACGCTAGCCACACATGCAATAATTGGATTTAACGGGCAGTGATCTTACCTCTGATCCTGTGCCTATGCAAATCTCATGTTGATGAGGGTGGAAAGGAAAGAATTCCCCTGACAGTAGGTGGGATGAATTAAACTGACAAGGAACTTGTCCCTGCCCAGGTGAAATCTTCCTCTTTTTGTATTACTACTGGGTTCTCAAGGAACCACCATATCTTCAGCTGGTGTTATCTTGCCTTTGAACACCACAGCATCACCATTGAGGCCCCAGCTGTGACCAGAGGCAAAACTGAATTATGTTTCCTCATGCCATAGCCAGCTCTGGAGCAAGGCAACATCGGGCCTTTGACAGCTATAGCCGTACTTTAATTATGAAATGATTTTCCCCCCAAATTTATGTAGAAATGCTCCTGACAAGGATCAGCTTGCAGACAGTGAAGTACGGTGCCCAGTACGGTGGTATGCACCTGTTTCACAGCACTCTGGGAGGCTGAGGCAGGAGGATGGCAAGTTCAGGCCCAGCCTGGGCAACTTGGTGACTTATCAGGACCTTGTGTCAAGACCTCCATTTGGGGGTCATCTAAGGTCCAGGCTCTAGTAAGGAGGTGCAGCCTCCCATGTCCCTGGGCTCCACTTCTTGGCTCTGGTGGGCGACCACTGGGCAAGTCAAGGCCCTGTGAGTCCATTTAGGAAGAGCCTGTGTTCATCTCTGCTTCAGCCTCTGGTGAGACCAGCCCCAGGTGGTGGTGAAACTTCCATGAAGCAGAGTGATAGCCTGCAAGGAGGGGTGGACCAAGAGGAAAAGGGAGGGGAGCAAGTGGTATGGTATGGCTTGTCAGAGGAGCCCCGAAGTGTATCCAGTTTTCTTTGTGCTCCTTAGTTTGACTTTTATTTTTTGGAGACAAGGTCTTACTGGGTAGTTCTGGATGGCCTTGAACTTGTGGCAATCCTCCTGCCTCAGAGTGCATTCATCACCACGTCCTGATTGACTGGCTTTTTGTTTTGTTTTGTTTTATGAGAGAGGATCTCACTGTGTAGTTCAGAGTGCTCTGGAACTCACTGGGTAGCCCAGGCTGGTCTCCGACTTGAGGGGATCCTCCTGCCTCAGCCTCCCGAGTGCTGGGATTACAGGTGTGCGGCACTATGTCCAGCAACTTTGGCTTTTTTGATGCTCTAAATATTAGTGTCTCCTTGCTGGCCCCACAGAATATACCTAGGCTGACACTCCACCCCCAAAGTGATGGTTTTGAGAGCAGGGCCCTCAGGGAAGTGTATTAATCGGCTTTCTTGTTACTGGGACAAAATACCTGATACTTACAACATTTATTTATTGATATTCAATTTTATTTGATTTTATTTATTTATTTTTTTGTGGTACTGGGAATCAAATTCAGGACCTCGCGCTTGTGAGGGAGGTGCAGTGACCCCTGAACTAACCCTCTAATACACACAATTTAAAGGAGAAGATGATTTGGCTTTTTTTTTTGCTACTGGAGCTTGGACTCAGGTTCTCGGGCTTGGGAAGCAGGCAGTGGAATCACTGAGCTAAATCCCTGGCCCCAGCTCATGATTTTTGTGGGCTCCATCTGTGGTGGGAGAGCCTGGTGGAGGACAGGTGCTCACCCCATGTCTGTCAGGAAACAGGTAATCTGGAAGGAGCCAGGTACAAGAACAGATCTTTCAGGGTCAGGACCCTAGTGATCTGCCCTTTCAGACCCACCTTCCTTCAGATACAAGAGACTGGGGGATATTGGATCCCTGGGCGTCGGGAGGGGGCAGACTGGGGGATATTTTGGATCTAAACCAGGACCAGAGGTTACTAAATCACAAAGGGTGTAGCCTCATTGCTAGGATTAGTAGTCTGACAAATTAGTCTGAGGGCTGGGTGTGGCGACACACCTGTCTTCCCAGCATTCAGGAGGGAAAATCAGCTCAAATTTGAGGACAGCCTGGGCTATCTATGAGCTCAAACCAGCCTGAACTACATGGCAAGGTCAGTTTAACTGTCATAATTCTCTTCTGCTCCTTGCTCTGTAACACTTTTTTTTTTTTTTGGAACTGGGTATTGAATTCGGGAACTTGTGCTTGAGAGGCAGGCAGTGGAACCACTGAGCTAAATGTCCAGCCCTATAATACTACCTCTAATCCATTTTCTGTTTTGAAAAAAGGTGCAGATCTGTGCCATTGTTCATTTAATTTTCAGTGACTGAGCATCATTATATATGCAATGTTAGGGAATTGATTATGTTAAACTATTTTGTGAGGCCGCCAGCACAGGCTGCATTCTTCTGGTACTTCTTAGCTCTTAAAGACCTCGTGCTCTTATCCTTAGTTTCCCTTCCCCCCCAAGGCCACAGCGGTCTGGAGAGGTTAAACCTGTTTCTCCAGGACCAAACCCATAAAGGCAACCTGGCCTGTGATAGGTTAAAGGTAGCCCGCTCCTCATAAATAAGCAATAGCCCAGCCCAAAAATGATAAAAGGACGTTCCTGTCTTTGTTCTCCTCTCTTTCTGCTTCTTCCTCCTCTCTCTGCTCTCTCTGTTCTGTCTCTGATCTTTCTCTCTCTGCTCTCTCCCTCTCCTCCCACCCTTTGAATAAAATCTCCAGTGGGACCTCTCGGTGTGTGTGTGTGTGGCCTAGTTGTTGAGTGTCACTATTCCCTTTCACGCATATGTTTTTGTTGTTTTCTTTTTTTGTATGTTTTTTGAGACAGAGTATCAATATGTAGTTCAGGCTGGCCTTGCACTCACTATGTAGCCCTGGCAGGCTTTGAACTTCCAGCGATCCTCCTACCTCAGGCTCTTGCATGCTGGGATCACCGGTGTGTACCACCATGCCTGTCTTGTCTTTGTTTTTGAGGCACCAGGAATCAAACCCAGGGCCTTTACACTGAACTATATTCCCAGATTTTTTAAATGTTTATTTTGCTAATACTGAGTTTGAATTTATAATCCTCCTGCTTCAGCCTCCCAGAGTTGAGGGAGTCCAGGTGTTTGTCACCATTCTCTGTGTGTCAATTATGGTCACTTGTCACTGGATGTTTGTCTCACCTAGATAATCTAGATGAGCTCATCTTGAGATCCATGATCTGTAAAGATCCTTTCCCAAATCAAGTCTCAGTCACCGGTACTGCGATGCAGCACCACCTTTTTGGAGGTTTCTGTTCACCCACTACAGGAGTGAAGGATTTCAAAAGGACGGGGATCTCCTGAGCTAGTCAGGAAAGGGCTATGAGAAGATAGGGATCAGCTCTGTGGGACTGGATAGGCAGAGCCAAGTCCTGGGTCTCAGTTCCTCATAGTGAAATGGTGATAATGGTCATCCCATAAGTGGTTAAAGTAGGGACAAATGGAGATAGTCCAAAGCTGTGGTATAAAAAGTGCACAGTAAGTGTGACTGCCCTCTTTTTCTTTCTAGAAATCCATTAAATAACACTGTCTCCAGCCAGGCGTGGTGGTGATGCCTGTAATTCCAGCGTTCCAGAGGCTGAGGCAGGAGGATTGCCAGGAGGTGGAGACTAGCTTGGACTACATAGCGAGACCATATCTCAAAAATCAAACAAACAAAACCATCCCCCCGCCCTCCAGAAACCGTCACTACTTGAAGATTTCCCCTTGGGGTCAGTTCAACAGCAAGCTTTGTACGTATGGAACAGCTTGGGGCATCCAGAAGGACTACTTAGTTGAGGGATCAGCACCTGCAAGAGAGGAACAGTGCTGTAAAACTAGTTCACCTTCATTCTCTCTCCTTTGGCATTGTTTATTCTGAGGTGACGGGATGGGCGAGAAAGCGTTCCCAGGTCCAACATGGCGCCGTCCTGCTCTTTGAACGGGTCCCATAAATGGCGATCTCCGTATGGGGGCAGACATGTTTATACCACGTGATCCGATCCTAAGTGCGAGGTGGCCGGAACGTGACGCAAGGTTGAGGCGAGGCTCCGCCCCCGTCCCCTGGCGTCGAGCGTCTCGTGACTGGCTCTTCCGCTCGGGGCGGCGGCGGTGGCGGAAGTGGGAGCGAGGCTGGAGCCTTGGCCATAAAGCCCGAGGCGGTGGCGACAGCGGCCGTGTTGGAGGCTGGGAGAGCGCGACGGGACCTGCGGGAAGCAGAACTTGGTCTTCCCTGCCCGTGCCCTTCGTCGTCTCCTTCTCAGCGGGAGCCCTTGCGACACGCCGGGCCCGGAGTCCCCAGCGCAGCGGTCGCGGTAAGCAGCCGGCCTAGTTTGGCCCCATCCCCCTCTCTGCCCCTCGGTCGCCGGGGCCTCACGTCCTCTTATCCTCGGCCGGCGCGCGGTTCGGCTTGCACCCGCGGGGAATCTCAGTGTCACTTAGGCCTCAGAACCAGTCCTGACCGCGCCCTTTGGGAGGTCAGAGGTCGCTGAGCGTGACCTCCGACCGGGTTGCGGACCCAGGCTGCGGATCTTGGGCGCCTTGTTTACGGGTGGCGTAGAGACTGGGGCCCGGGAGGGTGTCCTGACTCGGCCACCCTGGCTATTTAGGGTGTCGGCGCCATCCTCACCCACCGCGGTATCGCCGATCGCGGGCTCTGGGTTTAGGCGCCTAAGGCTGAGCCTCCGCCCCATCTGTGTCCCCTGTGAGCAGCTTGACCCTGTTAATGGTAGAAGGTCCTTGGCGATCACAGGCTGTGAGTCGGGTCCTGTGCGCTCGACGCGCCCCAGAGGCATGAGTTCCTGCGAGGCGTCCCGGTCCCCGCGAGACAGGGAACCTTTGTCACCACACGGATTGCAAATCCCAAGAGAAGTTTACAAAGTTACTAGGGGAAGATGATGGTGAGTCTTAGAGCTGTGTTTGAATTCTGGCCGCCGTGGGGACCTAAGGGTTCATGGAAGCGGGAATATTAAGAAAAATAGTTGCAAAGACTTGAGTTTTTGTTGTATGCTGGGTAGCGCAGCAAGACTGACTTATTTATTTTTCGTAGCGAGACTTTTACACATTATCGTGTTTAGTTATGTGAACAATTTTAAGTACCATAGTTGTTCCCACTTAGAGAACTTGACGAACAGAGGGATTGAGCTGTTTGTTCAAGGTCAGGCCGCTGATCAGGTACAGAGCAGAGATTCAAGCCAAGAGATTCCAACGCCAGGGCACTGTACCCAGCCTTTGGGTTGGGTTTCTTTCAGCTGCCCCTAAAGCTTTGGATTTTTTGCCACCTGGTATCTGTCCATCACCCCCACCGTCCCCCTCATTTTCTAGCTATGACATTTGAGACCGTCTGCTTTGCTACCTTAAAGCCACATTTATTTGCAGTTGGGGTTTAAAAGTCATGATCCTGTAGTGTAGTGCCACTACATGAGAGACTCTGGAATTCTGGCAGAGGACTTGAGATTATCAAAGAGGTTGCTATATAAATTGTTTCTCAGTTGAGTTACCTCTGGCATACCTGCCATGTAAACCTTCCATTCAGCAACGTTGGATGGGTTGCCTACTGTTGGTTCTTCCCTATTGAACGTACTGCAGCTTTGGATTCCAAAAGAACAAGCTCTTGTCTCTTCCTTGTGACTTAAGCAGCTGATTAACTGCCTGACTTCTCATCCTTGATTAATAAGTCTCCTGTTAGTGTGTTCCTCTCTTCAAACTTGGGTTTTGTTCAGACTTGACTCTACAACTGCAAAGAGAGTCATGAGTACTTGTGAAGCTAGTGCTTTCAAGCCTGCTGTGTTCTAGCTTATCCATGTTTGTTGTTTTATTTCATTATACGTTGCTCCCCAGCCTGGTTCGCGTCAGGGAGTAACAAGTTCTATAGCCTCACTTGTTTGCATCTGGAAGAACGTAATGATGAGCACCTTTGCATTCATTCATGAAATGATTTGAGTCTCTACCATGCGTGTGTCTGGATTTCTGGGTATTGACTCAGGGAGGTCAGCATGAGTCCTGTCCTCAAGGAATTGTAGAAAGGTGAGTGATCATGGCCAGGCGTGATGTTGTGGAATAACTTGGTAACAGAACTTGAGGCATTTCTACAGGTGAACTGGTGAAATAGTCTGGCTAACTGGGAAATTTTGTTCATGTTTAGAGCATTTGTATGGTGTGCTTTGGAAATACAACAGGAGATAATATAACATTTCTCATTTTCTGATGATCATCCCCCTCCCTTTGGCTTTTGAGACAGGGTCTCATTATGTAGTTTAGGCTAGTGTTGAACTCACTATGTAGCCTAGGCCAGCCTTAAACTTGCAGTGATCCTCCATGCTTAGCCTCCCAAGGGCTGTGATCAGTTGTGCACCACCACAGTTGGCTGGTTTTGTCTTTTTATTTGTTTATTTTTTGGGACAGAATTTCACTATGTAGTTCAGGCTGGCCTTGAACTTAGTGTGTAGCCCAACTCGCTATGATCCTCCTGCCTCAGCCACCCAAGTGCTGGGATTACAGGCATGCACCACTATGGCTAGCAGATTTTGTCTTTTTTGGGTTTTTTGTTTTGTTTTGGTTTTGGTTTTTTGAGACAGGGTCTCACTATGTAGTTGAGACTGACCTGGAACTCACTCTGTAGCCCAGGCTGGTCTCGAACTGATCCTCCTGCCTCGGCCTCCTGAGTCTTGGGATTACAGGCGTGCACCACCAGGCCCGGCTTGATTTTTTTTGTCTTTTGAAGAGTAACCTTCAGCAAACTTGTCTTTTTGCTCTAGTGGCATTTTTGTTCACTAAGGGGGTAATCTGTCACTGTCATTACGCTGCACTGCAATGTTTAGGAGCAGAGACACATTTGGTATGCTGTGTTTTTTCTTCAGCTGGCACCTGCCAGTTATGGTATCAGTACCATCCTAAGAGAAATCCAGTGCCACCCTGTTTCCAGGCTCTTTGGGTCCCTTCTTTAAAGGAAGATTTGAGTTTTACATTTGTGTTAGAGTAAACAAACAGGGTGCAGTTAGGAGAAGGCACTCTAAAAATAGTTCTATTAGTATCACCCTCAGGTAATTGCTAGCAGCCACTTGGGCTGATTGATTTCTTTTCTTTTCCTTCTTTTTTTCCTTTTGTGCCAACTGCACCTCATAATCAGAGCCCCTAAATCCTATAATTAAAGGGTAGTGTCTTCAAATGTGGCTTTGAATCTCCTTCTGAGTCTGAGTCTACCAAGTTAAATGCAAAGTTTTAGTTATTTGATTACCTTTTTTTTTTTTTTTTTTAAACCAGGGATCGAATGCAGGTCCTTGTGCTTGCAAGGCAGGCGGCAGAACAACTGAGCTAAATCCCCAGCCCTTGATTAACTTTTTAATCAGTCTTCAAAAAGATCGGCATTGTTAACATTTCTGGTTTTTTTTTTTTTTTTTTTTTTTTTTTTTTTTTTTTTTTTTTTTGTGAGGGGTCTTGCTATGTAGCCCAGGTTGGTCTTGAACTCATAGCATGCACTGATAACATTTTACCCCGTACATTGGGCATTAACTTTTTTTTTTTGAGACAGGGTCTTCACTATGTAGTTGAGACTGCCCTGGAACTCACTATGTAGCCCATGCTGGTCTTGAGCTCACAGTGATCCTCCTGCCTCAGCCTCCCAAGTGCTGGGATTAGAGGCGTGCAACACCACACCTGGCCAGTTTTATTTTTTATAGTACTGGGCATTGAGCTCGGGACCTTGCTACCTTAGGCGGTATAACATTTTTAATTTGAAACAGGGTTTTGCTACATTGCCCAGGATGACCTCAAACGAGTAATCCTCCTGCCTCAGTGTCCCAGGTAGCTGGGATTACAGGTGTGTGCCACCATGCCCTCTGGCATTAACCTTTCAGTGCACAGATAGAGCAAATCCAGACCTCACATGTGGCAGTTGTCTTATGTACACTGATCCTCTCTGGGATTTGACATAAATATTTTACCCTTTTTCCTGTGATAAATGGTCTAGGTATCCATCTGTATAAATTAACACTCTAGGCTGAGATGGATTTGCCCCATACTGGCTGGGAGCCATGGCAGGGTTTTCTTGGGGAAGTAGGTGGAGGGAGGAGTCCTCAGATTGAGGGTAAACAGTGATCCTAAACGGTCTGAAGTGGTCCACGTGGACTGTTCTCCTGCCCCCTGGCTGCTGCTGGCTCCGTGCCATGGGAGGCTTTGCTGTTCTTGGGAATTCCTTCCTTTGTGTCATCCCACATCTGCCTGGGCATGTCACTAATAGGTCTGTACCCACTGCCTGCAGTTGCTGCAGGAACATTTTGCAGGGTGTTATCTCTCTAGTTACTGGCTCTCACATCTTCCCTGGATTTTTCCCCCTTTCATATGTATGGCAGTAAAGGCTGGGAAATAGTTTGCATTTATGTTTTACTGTGTAAATTTTCTAAGTCTCAAGAGTTGCTGCTGGGACATGAGTGAAAAGTAAGGATGGATGGTCTGATAGGTGAATTCAGAACAGCCTTCTTATGAGACTCTGTGACTGGTTTCAATATTCATACTCCTGTGATTCCCAAAACAAATTTAAGAATAGCTACTTGCAAATGTCTCCTTGGGGGAGGAAGAAAGCCTGGGACTTGGTTCAGCGCTGACAGCACCCGGGGAGGGCAGCTCATTTACTGGAAGACGCCGCACATCAGACTGAGTCGCCCTCACCAGGGCTTTCTGTTTAGGTGACGTCACCACTGCTAGCACCACCGCTAGCGCTCAGCCTGACTGATTCTGTTGTCCCTTTGCCTGTCACCTCTGTCTGGGACTGGCTTCTCTTGGCACAGAGCGGGTCTGAGGATGGGAAAGTGGGTGCTAGGAACTGTGTAGCTTTGCAGCCAGCCTATTGAGGGGCCAGTTATGCAGCCGCTGCAGGCTGGCGTGGATCCTGGAGGGTCTCCTCCCTGGCCCTGCAAGGGAGACCTTTGCTTTTCCCTGGGCATTACTGTCTTGCTCCAGGGGCCCCTGAGAATGACTGCATGAGACAGACCCTTCCCCCTCACTATTTTCTGTGTAATTGTTTCAGAGTTGATTTCTATTTGATAAAGGTTTGAAGTTAAGCATGCATGAAGAAAAAGCTATTGTGAATGAATCTTAAGACCCCCCCCCAGCATAGACTCTATGAAAAATTGTTTTGGTTTTTCGTTTTTGTTACTTTATGAAAAATTATACCTCTTAAATATCTGGTGTTTGTTCAGTCCACCAGCAGTTCTGCACACACCACGTGCCTGGGGACCCTGAAAAAACTTGGGGTGTCAGCACAGCCCCAGATAAGAGAGCTGCTCTTATGTCCTCAGACCCCGCTGAGGGCATGGTT